AAGGAGTTGAATTGGCGGGCGTTGGGGTTTGAGTTTGTGGAAGAGCTGGAGAATGAAGAGGGGAGTGCTGAGTTGGGGGTGGCGTTTCATGCTTGATGATATTGTAGTATGATAGGTATGGGTATAAGTATAGATGCATAGGGTATAGGCGTCTTAAAAGGGGCGTTGTGTGGGTGGGTGTAGTATTACTCTTATCGTAACCCTTTCGAGTCGTGATTGAATGAACACAAAAGTATATGCACGAAGGCTCTACATCTACGAAAAAACAGCACCAAAAGCTGACCTCGTCATTCATAATATTAAGCTAAGATATTATCAAATCCATGACTGGTTCCATAAAACCAACCAACTATTCGCATCTCATATGCAAGTAAGCGGCGGCTAGACATTTCCGCGTTTACTCATCCAGGCATTATTTCATGAAAAACCAGGACGTAGATCACTTTTGTTTTGCGACTTCTTTTCCAGTTCATCCCCGCAGAAGCCGGGCACGGCGCGACAGAGGCGCAATCTTGCGAATAATGGGGTCGTGAGGCGACGTTTCGGCAACAGACATGTACAGCGCCTCCAACCGTTGGCTGAGGATGTCCATGATACGAGGCACAAGCTCTCGGATATCCGGATCCTGATGTCTTGTCAGTATAGGTGTAAGTATGGAGATTAAATGACTGAACATACCATCGGGTTGACCGTTTGCAGGACCACTTCCAGCCATGTCAGGCGCGGCATGATGTTGGTCTGCAGCGACGAAGTAACGGCAACGCCGACAGACAGACCCACAATAGGCGAAAGGCTGGTAAGGTAGGAGGGATTCAACCGCACAAACAGGTTGTCAAACAGATCAGCCTGCTGGGAGGATTGGAGCCACTACATGACAATTAGCAAAGTCCGTGAAAGTCTCATAAGTAGAAAACGCACCTTGACTGAACCTTCTTCATACCGACCCGCGTGGATCAGTTCAGCAATTTCTTCCAATTCAATTTGCTCAGGAGTTCTCGTGTCAGTAACCGCAGGCGCAACAGGCTGCGGCTGCTGCTGCTGCTGCTGCTGCTGTTGTTGCACTTGTTCCGGCTGGGTTACTGGGGAAGCCAGGGCACTATTGAGCCGCAAAACTTCGCCCTGGAGCTGTGCCTGTGCCGTCGCCATGGAGGAGACAGTCTCGGACAGTTCTCGCACGAGGGAGGTGAGCTGGTCAATCTTGGCGGCATCATTCTGACGCTGCAGCTCATACTGCCGAGCCTGGGCTTGCATCTGCTTCTCCATAGAGCTGGCGACCTTCTCCGCAGACTGGGCAGCAACGTTCCGGATAGCAGGGGCAACGGTGTTGTGGACAGCCTTGGAGACCTCGTTCTCTACCTGGATCGCCAGCTTCTGGCCCACAGCATCCGACAAGACTCTCATCAAGTCGGGGTGCTGGACGGCACGATTGACGGCTTCAGGAAGGGCCTGGCGCAGTTCACGGGGCACAACCCCTCCAATCTGCTGAGCAATAACGGTATTGAGTTGCTTGCCGACAGTGGCGGTAGTAAGATCGCTCAGAGCAGGCACGACCTCGGTCTGAATGTTACTCGATACGATGCGAGCCAGATTCTTCTCCACATTGTCAGACAGGGTGCTAGAGACCAAACGTAGAACTTGATCCTGCTTGGCTGCTGAGGCCGCATCCCAGCTACGACGCTCTTCATCAAAGCGCTGGTACAACCCTTCTACCTCACGGCCAAGGCTCTTGCTGAACTCAGACGAGACAGCACTCTGCAAGGCCTCCAGATGCTTATTCAGAGCAACCGCAGAGTCAACAGCGACAAGGCCAGATCCAGAGGGCGCCGGGGGAGCAGAAGTTGAAACTGAGGTAGGCGCAAGAGATGCCTTCTGTGCATCGCCATTGAATTGTTCGCCACTCACAGGAGTCTGAACAGAAGCAACAAAGTCACCAGTGACGGACTCAAGTGCAGTTGCAGGCTCCTTGCCCTTGACGGATGGTTCACCCGTGGGGGTGGCTGTCGCAGCACTCTTCTTCTTCTTCTTTTTATCAGCCTTGTCGGTGCTATTAGCAGCAGTAGCAGCCTCGGGCTGTTCTTGGGCGGGCTTCCTCGTCACCAACTTCGTGGGTGACTGAGTCCGCAGAGTGCTAGGACCGGCGGCAGCAGGAGCAGCGGCAGCCTCAGTGTTCAATTCGGGGATCTTCTTGGCGATCTCCTTAACTGCAGGCTTGGTGGGTGTAGGGGCAGAATCACCGTTGACCGACGGCTCGTCTGCTACATATGTGGGGAACGTTTGCAGTTCAGCAATGTCGATGAGGCCTTCTTCCAACGCATTGATCGGGCGAATGATCTTGTTGTCCGAGGTCCAGCCCAAGTCTTCTTTCTTGATGTTCAAGCACGTCACTCCACGGGAGTGCATAACGTAGAGTTCGAACAGGCCACTCTCATCGCCAGCGCTCTTAGTGACCGGGAGAAGGTCCAAGCTGCGCAGCTGTCCCTTCGAAGCGAAGGAGATCTCCCGGATGCCACTCATGCATGCCGTAGACTCCGGCTTGGGCAAACTGCTATCCTTCTCACCCGAGCGCTTGATGAAAGAAGCCTGCGACATAGCCTGCAGGTTGTACCTGGGGGCGGACAGGTGGACAAAGTAGATGGAGTTCCTGGTGGGATGTCCGACGACGATGATGCCGGACGCAGGGTGGTAGGCAACACTGCAGATGGCGTCCGACTCGTTCTCATGGGGAAACTTGAGCTCCTGCACAGCCTTGCCCAGCCCAATATCCCAGAGCTGCAGGGTGTGGTTCTGCTTAAGACCCACCAACACGTAACGAAGCGCCATCGACTTGACATATGGGCGTAGCTTGTCGATGAAGAGCACCGAAGTGGGCCACGACTTCTCGGTAGGGGAACCAGTGACGAAAGTGTTCAATGGAACTCGTACCTCAGCTGGGCTAGGTCCAGCGGTAAAGAAGGCGGGATTGCTAATCGCCTCCCGGATGTCCCAGAAACGCAGTCTACCGGTCTTGTCAAGAGAGGCAATGACCGTGTCGTCGTCGCTGAACATGAAGTCCTTGCCGGCCTTGCCGGTCGAGATTTTCAGAGCACGCTCCTTGAAGAACTTCTCAGTGTTGACGACGCGTTGCGGGCCTGCGACGCCATAGCTCGGGTTCATAGCAGCCTGTGGCGAAACGACGTAGATGTTCTTTCCGCGGCCAATGGCAAAGAAACCAGGATGGCGAGAGCTCCGTTTGGCCCGCGTTTTCAGCTGGCCGCCCGAAGTGTTCTCGTCTGAGGCCGGGAAAGGTGGGAAAATGAGGCTCTCACTCTCGAGAGCGTCCAGTTCGAAAAGATCCTTATCAGCGCGTGAGATCAGGGCCCAGTAAACTGCACCGCTCACGCCAATACCAAGGAGCGCCTGCTCCTCGGTGCTGCGGCCGGTTACCGCCTGCGAAGTGCAGACAGCAACGTTAAACACGCGGTCACGAGCGGAGCGGAACACCTGCTTGTCACTTCCGTCATCCTGGCGAATAATGCGCATGCCTCCGTTCTTCGCCAATGCATAGACAATGTAGTCGGAAGTAGCGGAAGTCAAAGAGCGATCAAGCTGATCGAAGTCCTTCTTGAGCCGAGCGATGTCCATGATGCCGTCATCTCGCAGAGTCGCAAGTTTCCCAGTGTGGGCCTTGACGATGATAGAGATGAAGGGCTTCAGAGGGAAGTTGTGCACGGAGACGACACGCTCTTCCTCCTTCTCAGCGCTGTCCTCCGCGCTCTCCCAGCTGTCGGCGAGCGCATCACCGCTGCCACTCTGAGAAGTCTCCTTCGCAGCAGCGGCCGGGGCGGCGGCTTCAGTTTCTTCTTTCTCGGTCTTGTTGTTCACAGCTTCAGTGTCCTCCTTCGCCTCAGCCGCCGTCTCGCGCAGGTGAGAAGCAACAGACGAGATAACTGCCTGAGTGCTCTCTTCCTGAGCCGACGCGATCTGAGACACCTTCTGCTCCGCAGACTTGGAAGCAGCAGTATCCACCTCACGGCTGATTTCCTCCACGAGCTTGTCAACCACCTGCGTGACAGCTTCCTTCTGCTCCTCGGCCAGGACGGGCGATGCGGCGCGTTTATCCTCGGTGGACTCCACGGGATTGGGCGCCGGCACGTTCTCGGCCTTGGCAACAATGCTGACCTTTTTGTTCTTCATGATTTCCACGGCTGGACTCTCACTGCGAGACTTGGGCTGAGGAGACTTGACTCGAGGGGAGGCGGCAGCCAGCTGCTCAAATGGATTGACGTAAGTGAACATCGATTCCTTCCCAGAGGGCCTGTCCAGTTTCCCAGACAACGGCTCCTCCGGACGGGCAGTCGACTCTCCGACAACCGGACCAGATGGCTGCAGGATATTTCTCAACTCTGCCTCGGGCACAGGGGACTTGATGGGAGAGACAGTAGATGGAGACTGAGAGACA